TCCAGGTTTCCATTCAAAGTTGGATCAGAAATTGGGAAATCACAAAACTGCCCTAATTAGTCCGAAACCATTCGGACAAGCGCTGATCAGAGATAAAATGTTTCAGCAAGATTTTTAACAGCCTGCTTCCACGTAGGGACTCGAAATATGAATGACAGTAGTGAACAAACAGCAAAAGCAAGCAACGGGACACAAGTTATCATTGAACTTTCCAAGATGAAATAAGAAGGAAACTGAGCGTTAAGAGAAAACTCAGCCTGTTGTTGAAAAGAGTAAATAATTCAGCGTTAACTGAGATCTCTCCCAGATGCTCCACTCGTCTTTCACAGGATATCGCCGTGGTGTTTGAACACGCACTGGGCCTCTACATCAATGGACATCCCGTGTGTTTCCATTCTCGCAGACAAATATATAACCGAACAACCGAATCGAGAAGAATGACGAGATTGCCCCGAGCAGGGTCGAATCCAAGATTTGATCTACTGATATGATAAAGATCAACTGAAACTGCAACGGGAATTTTCCAAAACACACCCCGCGACCGCTTGTAATAGGCCGAGCCCCTGCAACAAGGATAGCCCTTATTCCCTCTTTTACACCACGAAATCGGTTCATAACACGAAAAGCTTAGACTATTATATTGAGGAAACAGATCAATTTGCTATTCCTTATTAGCTGCAGAGCGAGGTGGATGTCAGACTCGGTGATTGTGCAATCGCGACAGCGCTGTCGCTGTTGCTGTCGCTATTGTGCAATTGCTGAGTCTGACACCTAAAGATGAAAGGCTTAAATGACATCATAAGAATTTACTGGAAGGTATTAGAGAAATAACAAGTAGCAAGGTATAAGGATTCTAAATGTGATAAAACGTTAGTAGTGATGATAAAACACCGGTGGAAGAGAAGGGGTAGAGAGCGTTGTTTTTTGAATAGTTTGCGTTCCCAAAGAGACAGGAAATTACAATGACGTGGTCACAGAATTCGCAGGTCGTGATGGAGTAGTGGTAGTTTGGATAAACGACGACAGTGAAGTACGAGACAACGTTGACAGATAAATCATCGAGCGCTCACTATTCAAAAAGTGCTCCAAAAAGGACATCACAGCGGGTAAATAGGTGGTGTCCTGGCTCCATTTATATTGTGGGGCTGGCAAATTTGGAGTGTTCAAGCAGCCATAGATGAACTTTAACCATTCTTGGAAAACCGTACACGTCAATATCATTCAGAGATTCGAAAGCATGGTGTGTCAACCTCGTACTGCACATTTTTTTCTTGTAGGTTTTAATTCCGGCTTTGTAGCATGTATGCATTTGGAAGCTATCTCAACAAAACGGATGACTTACCTCCTTACGTTCCATTTCAACTAGCGATTTCCAGTGAGCGACTTCACGTTGCAAATCCAGAATAGTTTGTTCTAAGGTCCCGGTGTCAACATCTGTGGACTGCCACTCGCTAAGTTGCGAGCGTTCTAATTCACTCTAGAAGAAGTACCGCTTCAAGAGAAGATCAAGAATACAACGTTTCAAAAGTTCAGATAAGACAAACCTTCAGCTTCTTTATTTCCTCATCTCTTGTGAGAATCATCGTCCTATGGCGCTCATTAATCATATCCAGTTCGGTTTGATGAGCAGACAAAATCTGTTCTTGTTCTAGCACCTTTTCTTCTAGTTTGCTAACTTTTGATTGTTCTATTACGAGAAGACGCTCAGCTTCATTTCGCTTCTTGTTCGCCACCTGCAATCCACGTACTTTTAAGTGAGTAATGGTCGAAATGAAAATGAAGATTAGGGAGGGTAATTCAAAGTGAAATGTATAGCATTACAGCCGCGAGTCCTAAACATAGAGGGCAGACAAAAAAATACTTTCTCCTTACACATTTAACTGAACTAACCAAACTCACTAATTTTCTAACAAAGCCCCTACAGCTGGGAAATGAAGAGCACATTCGGATCTACAACCACATTTAATGGTACGACGACATTAGATGAATCTGCCAGAAAACAAAGCAAAACTTGAGTTGAGCGAGCTCCTTGATGGATTGTGAACCATTACTTCCTTCACGTTCGTACTTCTACACTCACATACATTAAAAATAAGCCCTTTCATAGGGCGATTCTGGTTGGGAAGGCGAGGAAAATTGAAGGAAATTTTTCAAACTACTTTTGGGGTAAGAATAGCACACGGACCCTGAAATACTGATCGACAGGGGGCTTTTACAGAGCTTCTCCCTTTGGGGAACTATCCAAAAGTAAATCGATTAAGGAACTAATGAACGGTTTCAAGCTTGTGCACAATAGACTTTTTGAGCTCGATGGAGATAGTGAGTGACTTCATATACTGAAGACGGTAGGAGCAGTGAATAAATGGTTGCTTCTGCTTATACAGGGATATTCCTAGAATGTTTAGTCGCGAGGCTCCCACCAACAACGGCACCCTGAGCGACGGGAAGTTTGTTAATGTGCGCCATGAGCAGAGCCTTTCTTCTGCCTCCCCTCTCCCAGAAGGCAAATCCGGAAAATTTCATTTATAGGCTCAGAAAGGAGCATTTTGTGGAAGGACAACTAATCATAAGCACTGCTGTCTTTGAAAAGCAGTATCGCTACAAACCAGCTACTCGCTTGCTTTTTTATTGGACAAACTAACAAGGAACCGGAACCTGCAACTCTGTCTCCGGATCTGCGACTTCATCTGTGGCTTCGCTGAGCACTTCATTGGCGAGTTCGGATAGTTGCCCTTGCAGGTTCCGAAACCAGCTCATAAATAGAGAACCTTAAAAGAGTAATTCATTAACTAAAACAATCAAGACCTATGGTGTTGCTGTGGAGAAATCAGCTACACAAAGGAGTACTCAAAAACATTAACGTCTCGCACGCAAATGTGAGAATGCAAAATCAATATGCCTCGATTTCGTTTCCGAGCGAAATTTCGCTGACGCGATCGGTATCATATCCGAGTGTTAAGATAAACGAAAGTGTCCTTCAGAGTGCGCTCTTATGAGAGTTCAAAAAAACGCTGCGCTAATGGAAGAGTTGGAGTCGTTATGGAGATAGTATCCAGATCTGTGGTGAGAAGAAGAATCGTTGACGGATGTAAAAATCAACAACCGACGGAAACCTGAACAACAGTACATCCAATTCCTCAATAACGAGCCTTCTAGAACCACATCAAAGAACTTTAGACCTTTGTGTAAGTTCTCATTTTTCTGCAGTGCGTTTCACAGCTGCGTTCATCGTTTTAGAAAACAGGAGATTAAATATGAGATCTCCTGAGCTCCGCAGCTCCTGTACTACTCTCCCAGCCAATACATATCTACTCCCTTCAGCTGAGCCTCCTCTCTCCCAATCAATACTTTTCCTTTTTACTTCGTATTTTCTCCTGTCCTGCAGAAACGTAGCGTATGAATGCACTTCTTGAAACTTTATTCAAATCCTATCGTAAGGTGCTTAATCCCCTTTGCTTGCTAGTTTAGGGCCTCAGGGAGTGAAAACCACAGTTATAGTGGATCCGGTGGGGTATGGCGGACGAGTCGCCATACAACTGTTGTGTGAGGTATATACGTATCAATCCTGCCTGCCCTATCAGGGACTCGATTGTACGTTTCGTAAGGCCGGGTTTTTATGTTCAGTGAATCCGGAGTTTCGCCAACTAGTAGCGTCCGACAATTGAGATAAGTTTGATGCTAGATTGTAAATTCAGTCACAATAAGGGTTCACCCTTATGCGCTTAGAGCAGGATATTCCACTCAAAAGATTACGTATGCATGCAGACTGAAATCGGCAGGAGAGTAGATCTACGCACGATCTATTTCCAAGAGCTGTAAGAATAGCAGAATTAGGCTGGTGACTGAGAGTTAGACTGCGCCTGAAAATGATTCAGAGTAGCATAAATGGGGGTAATTCATAGCACTGAAAACGCTTTCCAATTCAGTCAATTTTCAATTCTATCGGGACACTTCTTTTCTAAGACAATCCCTATCTACATTCATTTCATGGCAAATGGCATATCTCTTACTCATTAACCGGCGGCAGTCCAATTACACGAGTTTGGGAGATTAAGGATAGGGTGCGGAGAATCCCTCTACTATATAAGCGAAGCTTGCGTTGGTCTGTTGGCGGCTAGCTTGTCTCGTGTGTGTGTGTGTGTGTGTGTTTGACCGGAAATTCATAGCTCGAGTCACAGTAACGATAGCGCAGTGGTTCTTACATATGTTATAGGGGGTGGGATGGGGACACAAGTGGTACGTGATAGGAACTGATAACGACTGATAATAGCTGATAAGAGGGGCTAGAAAGCGAGCATCGCCAATTTCGTTTTGTCGTTCATATTGGTACTAGAGAGCGTCTATACTTACAAGTCTTATGTGGGGCGGTCCCGGAACATTGGTGGTACATGATTGGAAGCGATAGCAACTGATAATGGCTGATAAGATGCGCTAGAACGCAAAAGTCGTCGATTCCGTTGCCTGGCTCGCGTTGACACCAGAGCAACCATACTTACAAGTGTTATGTGGGGTGGGACGGGGACATTGTTGGTGGGTGCCAGAAACTGATAACGATTGATAAGGGCTGATAAGGCGCGCCAGAACGCAAAAGTCGTCAATTTCCGTTACGCAGCGTTGACACTAGAGCGTTCCTATTTACAAATTGTAGTATGTGCACATTGTTTTGATATAACCAGCTTACTTAATAGAATTCGACTGCCACTCCTAAACCTAAACAAGTCTTCAGCAAATGATAAGCTTCACTTCTGATGCACTATCAAGAAAACCCAAACTCATTAAACCGCTAATCATTCGAGGTTCTAAATAATGGTGAATGTAAATGAATGATAAGCATTAGCTCATCACTTATGTAATAGGCATATTTCATTTTTATTTTGAGACTGACGACAAGAAAATCCTATTCACCGCTAAACTATCTTGATTTCAAGAAAAATGCTGGATGTTTACAGAGTTGTGATCAATATACCAGTTCAGCTCAGACGTTATCACGCGTATTCTCGATGAGCTTCAGTGAAACTGTGGAGGGTCTAACACAGTCAGTAGTGAGATGGTTACGGGAGTATCTCATGCTTATATTCCGTATGGTCCTCCAATTTCGCTAAAGCCTGCGCGTGTGATGCGCGCTCCTATCCGACTTAGTCGGGGAAGCAAATGGTACAGGATATACGGACTGGTTTAGTTGTTGTCTGCGTTTTAGGAGGGGCCAACTGGCGTCAGGGCTCATTTCTAGCGTTGGCGCCAACTGGCGCCAGGGCTGTTTTCACCAAATTCGCTGTAAACTTGTATACAGGGGTTATTTGAAGTCCCTGATTACGAATACGACATTGGTTTTTAGCATTTGCACTGTTCAACGCATTTTCCGTTTTCCTGGGCTCCTCTCACTTGTACATATTACCTCAGACTAAGCTTAGGGGGAGGACTCCTGGGTGGGTGAACCAGGCAACGTGTGGCAAAAGTTGAAGCGTATAAGATCAAAGGCTGAGTAATTTACTAACCTCGGAACCTCCTCTCTCCGAGCTGGTGTCAGAGTCCGCGATGCGTCGCAGATTTCGCGCGATTCGCGCGACGGATCACAGAAATCACATGCAATCCCGCCGCCATTTCTGCTTGATGGTGATGGCTGAATGACGACTGTTCATGATTCTACTTGTTTCATATTCAGTGTTTCAAATGTTCAAATGGGGCACTTGCAATTTTTGCGATTCGCGCGAAACCTACGACGGATCGCGGACTATGACACCACCAAAAGACTGATTGTTGGTCCTGATGGCGAGATCAGTGAGAGGGCGCAGACGAGCGGAAATTAGGCGCCAAATGGCGCCATCGAAAAAGAAATGTTATATTCCTCATCAGGACCCCAAATAACCCTTGTAGACAAGTTCACGACGAATTTAACGACGCTAAAAATGTCATTTTCGTAGATTAGTAGATTAGGCGTCCCCAGTCGGATCAAACAATAAAACTAATCATTTCAGTACAATCTCCTGATCTACTGCTATCATAATCTCGTAAGCTACTTTCCTCTATCGGTTTCCTCGATATGTACGTCTTTTCAGTGTGATATCTTGCTCTTCCTAACATCTTAATCCACTCATCTCCCAAGCTCCCACCCAGAACTGTTTTTGATTGCTGTCTACTATAATGGTAGCGAGGTCGTTAACTATGAACGCGGTCTTGCAATCGCATGGTCAATACGTACCTGCCCACGTTGGAATCGCAGGATCGGTCCGACTGAACTGCAAGGCTGGTGTCAGAGTCCGCGATCCGTCGCAGGTTTCGCTGATTTCGCGCGATTTTCGCGATTTGCGCGATTCACGCGACGGGTCACGGAAATCACAAGTGCCCGATCAATACTGCAAGGTGTTCTCCAATCCCGCCGCCACTTCTGCTTGATAGTGATGGCTGAATGACGACTGCTCATGATACTCGCAGTAGTTATCGGTGCACTTCCAACTTCTGCGATCCGTTTCGGTTCGGTTTGGTTTCGCGCAAATCGCGTAAATCGCTTAAATCGCGCGGAACCTGCGACGAATCGCGGACTCTGACACCAGCCTAACTGTGGCTAAGGGAGCAATGAAGTGAGCTTAGATGATTTTCGCAACCCCTTTTCCCCGCATTTGAAGATGCGAGAGCTACGCAACTGGTACTCACTACTTGGAGTAATCGCAAGATACGGGGCATTGTGATGGCAATGCACATAAAGCCGCTCTAAACATGTCCTTTTTGTATTGTAGAAAACGTGGCTAAGCCTTGGGCGGAGGAGAAGAGACTCCAGGATACGTGAGCCATTTTCAATTTCATCGAAGCTGCTGACTAGGCTTTGTCGTAGAGGATGCCCCCGTATATTGCGATAGCGCCGACTACTTTTTATAGGAACAATTGAGAATGTCCGACAAATTGGGACAAGTTGAAAAAGCCACTGATGATCAGCGGTGGACCTGAGGCCGGGTGCAGCAAACCCCGGGGAGGGGATGGGTTCCCAGAACTCGACGTCTATACTCCAGTCGGTGACGTAGTCGGAATAGGGGGATGCGTCCAGATGCAGAGATTTGGGGACCCATCTCCTCGCCAGAGCTTGCTGCACCTGGTCCCTAAAGTTCCCACAACGGAAAATGTTTCGCGCTGGGGAATCCCAAAAGTCTTCCAACGTCGCTCTGTCCTAGCGAAACACATCCAGTTACGGGTTGACGGACTACTTGAACCCGGTCCTTTAAGCCGCCTCAGATCCATCTCTCGTCTGCGCTCTCTCACCTTATCATGGCCATTGTGATCACATTCAAACTTTTGCCACACTGTAGTTGGCTCACCCACCTCGAAGTCCCTCCCTCCTACAAGGCTTAGTCCTAGGGCTCTCACCTCCTTCCCTGGGATTTGGAGCCGAGCCAGGCGCCGTTCTCTAACTGTCTGTGCCCTCCGCCATTCGTGGCAGGACCATGGAAGAAAGTTCAAGTAGTCCGTAAACCCCAGTTACGCTAAAGTGAGAAATGCATTCAACGAAAAGTTTTTGCAAGAACAGTGATTTTCACAACGACTGATTTACTAGCCAAGTG